GAAGTGGAGGGGATCAATTGGGGGGGGGGAATGGTATACCTGTAATACTCTCAACGATAAAGATAAATTTAAAAAGTAAAAGAAAATGAAGGGAAAAGTAATACTTGGTAATAATGCCTACCTCATAGAGTTGCTTCAAATAATATAAATGTAAAAATATTTGGCAAAGCACTACTCAAACACACAGTACTATTTGGATGAAATTGTCATTGGGAGAGAAGAATTTGTGAGGATAATTATAGCTGACAATGGTTAAGCAATAGTTTAAAACACAACAGGGAATGAGAATTTTTAAATTCTTTATTTGTTCCCAGAAGAGTTATTCTTTCCCAGTAAGTTACCCAATTTGAGCAGTTCCACCACGATCGTTTTTAAAGCACAATAATGTTCTCTAGAGTCAAAAATGCCTAAATTAATTTAAAAGTTTCAAACAGAAACATTATGGTACATGGGCCAAAATTAAACTTTAGTTAAGTAATATGGGTAGACACATTACTCAAATTATCAACATATGAAATAAAAAAAAATTAAAACGTTTGTACACAGGGCAGAATTTAGTTCTGTGTTGACAAGTTATGGCATATATACACAGATTACCAATATTCATGGACATACTACATATAAACATTTTGAAATGAGGTATATGTACAAATCAATACAGCCTTTTCGTTTCCCTCACGCACTTAAGAGCCTAGACCATGGGTCGTACCATCCCTGTAGCAACTATACGACTCTGCCTTTGTAGCTGAAAGAAGCTATAAATAACATGTAAATAAATGGACTTGGCTATGTTCTAATAAACCCCAAACCAGGAGGCATCCCGGGCGGAGCTGGCCTACAGTTACAACTTGCCAACTCAGGCGAGTTCTGTTCTCCCTTTCCCTATTTTAAGAAAAGAAAAAAATCATTTTAAAAAGCTTCATTAGAACATGCGACAAACTGTATGGCTCAGGGGTTGGTTCAAAATCTTTCTTGAGTCACAGACTTCTTTGAAAATCTGTTAAACTACTAACCCTTTATCCCGGGGGGGAAAGTCACATAAATG